AGCAGGAATTCATTAGCATAATAGGCCACACCCAACAGCAGAAACGCATTAGGATTGGCTGCATTAGGGGTGTGTGGCCTAACATGCAAAGGAGTTCCTGCAACAAAAAAGGCCCTGGGTTTTGACCACAAACAAGGTAAACAGAATAAGAAGGGAAAGGTGGGTGTGGCTGGATAACCACACTTCTGGTAACATGGGGGTGTGGCCTAATGTGCTAATGAGCTGTGCTGTCAGGGGTGTGGTCTAATATGCTAATGAGTGTCTGTTGTTGGGTGTAGCCTATTATGCTAATGAGTTCCTGCTGGGCTTTTTCTACAAAAAGAGCCCTGACTGAAATATTCGGTAAAGTTTTATGAAGTTTTTCTGCCCTTGTGATTGGTGTGAAATCAGAGATCCCTAAGAAGGACCTAAGCAAATTCCTGAGACATAGCAACTGTCAGGAAAGCAACTCTTATCAATTTATGAAGCACAGACATAAGATATGATGTGTATCAGGTTTGGTTGAAAGTGGTCCATGGATTCTGGCCACGATCCAAGTACATCTAAGCCACATGCTTAACTCATGGTACGAAAGTGTTTTTGAATACACAAAAATGTATTTACTGTTAGTTCTTCTTCTTTTCTCTTTTCTCTTCTTCCTCTGTTGATCTTACTCACACCTGATCCACTTGGTCCTCTGTTTCCTAAAACACCAGTAGTGCCTACGACAGTTCTCCCCACTAGCCCCGAAGCCCCCGAACCACCAACCTCTCTGACGGATTCCTCTCCTTCCCCTTCTTTAGCTATCCCAAGCTCCAGTGTCCTCCCCTCTGCTCCCCGCGATGTGGTCCCTGTTTTGGTCTCCAGTCGGTTTGTTCGTCTCAGCTGGCGCCCACCCACAGAAGCGAAAGGGAACATTCAGACCTACACCGTCTACTTCTCCAGAGACAGTGTGAACAGGTAAGTCCCAGTGCCCGCATGCAGGTAGCACAAGTGCTCATGAGCAGGGATCTGCGGATGCTGTACTGTAAATGGATCAGAATGCTGTGTCCACCCCCCAAGCTGATGTTTCATTCATTCATTCCAGACCCATAGCCAGGAATTTTTAAAGTCAGGGGGCATTTAAATTGCTTAGTGGCACTGGTGAATTGAATTAAAGGAATACCCAGCTCCTTCCCTGCACCTGCCTCCGTTTGGGGGCCCTGGGCTGGATGGGAAGTTACAGGTCTTGTCAGTAAGTCAGGGGGCCTAGCCCCAAGATGCCCCACTGTAGCTACGGGCTTCATTCATTCATTCATTCATTCATTCAGTGGGAGAATTTCAGATTAAGGTAGACTTGGCCATTCATGTATAAGGTATACTAAATACATGGTAGAACAAATTTAGAGTCCAGTGGCACCTTTCAGACCAACAAAGGTTTATTCAAGGTATGAGCTTTCATGTACATGCACACTTTTTCAAATGCTTTGGGAAAAAAGTGTGCATGCACACAAAAGCTCCTACCTTGAATAAACCTTTGTTGGTCTCAAGTCAAGTCAAGTCAGCCTTTATTGGCATAAATTATCAGTACCATTTATACATTTTAAATCCAGTTAAAACTCATATATACAATTCTAGAAGAACCTTTGGCGCAGCTTTAAAGCCAAGCAGAGACACTTAGCCACCTTCTCTGTGATGTCCGGACTCAGATCTCTTAAAAGTCTATTCACCTTAAGTGCATCAGAGCAAGCACCCATGCTGGTTAAAAGAGAGTGTAAGTATGTGATCCTTAGGTCCATATACAAATTGCAGTGCAGGAGAACATGAGTGACAGATTCCACACATTTCGATCTGCAAGGGCAGTATCTGGCCAGATGAGAAACCATGTTAAATCTGCCAAATAAAATGGCGGACAGCATAGCATTATATCTGTTTGCTAATGAGCTGTGCTGTCAGGGGTGTGGCCTAATATGCTAATGAGTGTCTGCTGTTGGGTGTGGCCTATTACGCTAATGAGCTCCTGCTGGGCTTTTTCTACAAAAAAAAGCCCTGAAAGAGAGTGTAAGTATGTGATCCTTAGGTCCATATACAAATTGCAGTGCAGGAGAACATGAGTGACAGATTCCACACATTTCGATCTGCAAGGGCAGTATCTGGCCAGATGAGAAACCTTGTTAAATCTGCCAAATAAAATGGCGGACAGCATAGCATTATATCTGGGCAGGGTGAACGTTCTACATTGTTCAGGTACCTGCAGAGAGGATAGATACGAAGCCATCAGCCCTGTTGTAAGGGGAATCTCAAAATTCAAGGGGGAGCAGGTTTCATTGCCTAAACTATATAAAGTTTGGTGCTCCGAGTCTAACGACCTGTTTTTAATCTGCTGGAATGCAACGGCAAAAGGCAACATGGACAGGGATTCCAAAGAGAGACCCAATACTTTAATCCTTTGTTGGTCTGAAAGGTGTCACTGGACTCTACATTTGTTGTACTGCTTCAGACCAACATGGTTGACCACCTGAATACTTGAAAGCAAAAGGAGACTCTAGTTTCATCCCAGAAAGCATTGCAGCCTGGCAAAGGCTGTCTTCTGAAACACAAGCAGTGCCTGGCAGCTGAACTCTGCTCCACTTGCATAGTTTACACATTCCAAGCCTATTGTGCCATCTCGGAGGCCAAGCATCTATAGCAGGGGTGGCCATACTGTGGCTCTTTCACACATATTATGTGGCTCCCGGCAGGGTGGCTGGGGAAGTGAAGGGGAGGCGTGCAATGTTCACTCTAAGCTATGGAGTCCTGTGAGCAAAAATTCTACTTTGTGAGCTACTGGCACTGAAGTTGTGAGCGAACGATTTGGCTGCTGCATAAATTGGTTTGCTCTGGAGCCCTCCTTCTTGAGCTACGACGAAAATCTGTGAGCCGGAGGCTAAAAAACTGTGAACTAGCTCACACTAAGTCAGCTTAGAGGGAACACTGGAGGCGTGGCTCCCTGATTGATCTTCCCTTCCATAGACAGTGCTCCCCTCCCTGGGTAGACTTGGGGCGGGGGAGCAGAGAAAGAAAGCAACTTGCATTCTCAAAGCACGCACACACCCCGGCCAGCTTGGAGAAAGCATTTGTCTCTTTAAAGAACATTATCACTACCTGGTTTTGACCCCTTTTGTTTTTATTTCTGGCAGTCTTATTTAATGCTAATGTTAATAAAAGCAAATTTGCATGTATATATTTTAAAAAACAAACACTGCGTGTGTAATATTTGTTCATGTCTGGAGGCTCTCAGACATCTGATGTTTCTTCTATGTGGCTCTTGTGTTAAGCAAGTTTGGCCACCCATGATGTGTAGATTAGCGGTTACATCTGTCTTCTGTTCAGTCTAGTGGCATTTGACTTGATCGTTACCTGGAGGAGAGGCAGAGTTCATAGTGCCACTAAGGGGAGGGGACTGGCTATTGTTACAATTATGGCATTCCTTATTGACAGCTACCTAGCCTGCCTTTAGAGTCAAGAGGGTATAAATATTGTTGATTTTTTTTCAGGATTTGGGGCTGCCAACAGTCTGCTCATTTGGAGACCTCAGTTGGCAGCCAGAGATCTCTCTTTCTTGATTGTGTGCAGTGCTTTACATTTCATGGAGTGCCCACGAGTTCTTGTATTGTGAGAAATGGAGAAAAGAACCTCTTTCTCTACCTGCTCTATCCCGTGCATAATCTCATAAACCTCAATCATGTCACCCCCTCAGTCATCGTTTCTCCAAGCTAAAGAGCCCTAAGCGCCTTAACCTTTCCTCATAGGGAAAGTGTTCAGACCCTTTTATCATTCGACTTGCCCTTTTCTGCACTTTTTCCAAAGCTATGATATCCTTTTTAAGGTGTGGTGATCAGAACTGCACACAGTATTCCAAATGAGGTCGCACCATTGATTTATATAGGGGCATTGTGATATTGGCTGATCTGTTTTCAATACCCTTCCTAATAATCCCCAGCATAGCATTGGCCTTCTTTATTGCAGTCACACACTGTCTCGACATTGTGTGAAAAAGAGCAAGGCCCAGCCAATGTGGCAGCAACTTGTCTATGTCACTTCTGATGTGACCCAGAAGTCACATCATCATGTCAGCGACGCCAGGGTGATGCTCTGGTATTTGGGGGGAAACTCTGTATTAGAAGCCAAATTTACCATAGAGTTTTTGCTCAAATACCAGAGTGTTACCTGGATGTCACAGCATAAGAACGTAAGAGACGGCAATGTTGGATCAGGCCAGTGGCCCATCCAGTCCAACACTCTGTCACACAGTGGCCAAAAATACCAGGTGCCATCAGGAGGTCCACCAATAAGGCCAGAACTCCAGAAGCCCTCCCACTGTTGCCCCCTCCAAGCACCAAGAATACAGAGCATCACTTGTCCCAGACCGAGAGTCCCTATCTATACGTTGTGGCTAATAGCCACTGATGGACCTCTGCTCCATATGCTTATCTAAGTGACACAGACATGTCACTGCAACATCAGCTGGGCCTCCCTCCCACTCCAGGTCAATCCCCCCCCATCTCCCACTGGATGCCAAGACAACTGTAGGGTTGCCAGATCCCCCAGTGGGGGCGGAGGTCCCTGTCGCCAGGCCCTTCTGCCCTGCTGCTGATCAGCTGGCAACCCTAGGAAAGTGAGAAGGAGTGTCTTGCAGTTACCAAACCTAGAGTGTCCTTTCCTTGAACCCAGTCCTAACAAAATGGTCACCCCAGCTGGGATCCAAATGTCATTCCGTTTCATTTATGGGAATGAGCCAGTGGGAACCTTAAAGGAGGAGGGCTTCAGGTTGCAGCTGAAGGCTTCCTTCGGAACTGTTCTAAGACGAATTCTTTGAATTTACCTACCGTCCTTTTGCCTGCCTTGGGTTTCCAAGGCAATTAATGCACAGTATGAATATCAAATAAACAGTATATTAAAAGGAGGGGGGGAGTACAGCTTCCATTAGATTTATTTAAAGGTTATTGGTTCTTAAGATAAAGCACATAAAGGAAGCAATAGTACAGTTAATACATTTTCAGGCAGGTAAGACTCATTATGTATATTTATGAATTCGTATGAATCCGAGTCTTTGAGGACAAGGTGGAGATATGCTTACTTTTACGGATTACATGAGAAAAAGTGCCAGGTAGAGCTTCTGAGGCTACAGAAGACCCACCTGACCCAGTAGTCATTTTCCATTTTGTTTGTTTGTTTGTTTGTTTCAAGTCTTCAGTGCTTTTTCTCTACTTATGACTGACTGTATGGCTGCCAGTCCCTTGGACTGCAAGAAGATCAAATCAGTCAATCCTAAAAGAAGCTAACCCTGACTGTTCCCTGGAAGGCCAGATAATGGAACTGAAGCTCAAATACTTTGGCCACCCAATGAGAAGGGAGCACTCACTGGAGAAGACCCTGATGCTGGGAAAGACTGAAGGTCAAAGAAGACGGGGACGGCAAAGGATGAGATGGTTAGACAGTGTCATCGATGCAACGAACATGAAATTGAGCAAACTTCAGAGGACGGTGGAAGACAGGAAGGCCTGGCGTGATCTGGTCCATGGGGTCATGAAGAGTCGGACTCGACTGTGCGACTGAACAACAACAAATGGCTGCCAGTGGATCCCACCAAAGGGTTTTGACAAATAGTTTCATAATTACTAATCTTATTGCTATTTTGTAATTTTAAATGTTTTAGAAGTTTAAAGGCATTCAGATTACTGGGCTGTCCTCCTAGAAAATGAACTCTCCCATCCATTTATGAGCAGGGTTCCCTCTAAGCTGAGTTAGTGTGAGACAGCTCACGGGGTTTTTTTAGCCTCTGGCTTATACATTTTTTGCCTTAGCTCAGGAAGGAGGGCTCCAGAGCAAACTAATTTATGCAGCAGCCAGATCGCTCGCTCACAACTTTAATGCCGGTAGCTCACAAAGTAGAACTTTTGCTCACAAGACTCCACAGCTTAGAGGGAGGATTACTTACG